GGCAATGCAAAAAAGGTACGCAAATGTAACCTATCAAACTGTAGCTCTTTGTTAAACGCTAAATTAATCATTCTGATAGATTTATTGACAAAGTTAACAGGGAAAAGTGGCGCTCGCCCTAGTATAATCCGAATTCAGTTAAAGAAAGAGTTTCATAGGTTTGTATCTTAGTAGACTAAGAAGAACCCTTTCTTTTTAAGTCCCTCGAGCAAAACGCGCCAGTAATGTTGAAGAAAATATTACGACTCCCTTTCCAGTCCAACTGTTAGTAGTCTCAATGGCAAGGTACCCGCCATTTTAGCAAAGCTAGAATTGGCTTCTCCAAGTAAATTTTTTCATGACTGTATTAGGTTATATAAACCGCTACAATAAAACGATACAAACTTGAAGCGCTTCAAGTTCTCTTTTTGTTCCCCCTATGAAACTAGTACGGACTGATCGTGTTTCATAAATTCTTTAATAATTCTCTTGATTTCAACACAGTTATATTCTGTACTGTTCTTTTCCAACTTAAGTCGTGGTAGAAAAGAAACAAAAGAAAAATGGCTACCCCGCACGCTTTTTTGTTGTTGCAAATATTTCCGATGATTTTCCACTGTGGTTGACAGATCCGTTATTGGTGATCTTTAATGTTAGAGAAAAAGGAAATTCTCTCATCATCATCCTTTAACACTATATTTACACTGTTTCCTTTATTATTGTTGATCTATGGTGGGTTCGTATAAATTAATTTTGATAATTTCCATAAATAACAATAACATATATTATTAACATCTACGTAGTAGAAAGGACTTTTGTCATCAGCAAACTGATGAGAAAAAATAAAGATAACAGAATAGAAAGTACAATTTCAGCCCAGCTAGATAATGCTAGTAGACCTATGTAAAAGAACAGCATATGTGTATGTTAATGTCTTGTCAAATTGTTATCATAGGGCTGCATCCCTGTTAAGTGGACGGCGCCTGAGATTCTTTACGGAAATCCTGCAGAACTTTCTACCAAAAGTGACGTGTATGTTGAAATACAAATGAGTTAATCTGAAAACAATTATACAGCAAGATGCTTAACAGAATAAAACGATAGCACTGTTGATAATGACGGAAACCGGGGCAGGTGTGGAATCTGATAAACTCTCTCTTTTCTTACTCACCGCGTCCTTTATAATTTATAGTCGAAATTCCCTGCGCGTCCACTTATTCAAGTAACAAAATTAGTTTTCTTAGTTAAATGTCGGTTTGGGTGGTTGCTTAAGGAAGGTTTTTTTGACCGCTTTGCAAACCGACGGCGAATTCAAACTGCGACTTTCGAATTAAAATGATCATTCTCAAGATCCATTACTGCTGCCAAAATTCTGATATGTATTTTTCCTTGAACGGTAACAGCGTACATTGATAGGATGTTTTCACCCAAAAGGATTTCTTTCAAGCATCAGTAAAGCATAAAAAGTGATTAGTGTTTCATAGCTGAACAACTCAGATAATAGTAGTAATTACGGAGCACATTTGAAATATCAAGCAACAAGCATTCTTTCTGATTATGTTTTCGTGTGGTTGCAGGTGGTCATATGGAATCGTTCTCTACGAGATATTCACCATTGGTAGGTGATATATTAAAACTTTTTTGTTTAAACACAAAGATTTTCACCTTTTTAACTTTTTGCAGAAAAAATGTGTAGAAAATTTACCTTGTAAAGATCGCTCTAGAGAGTATAAAGAAAATTAAAATAGGACTTCCTAGGTCCGTCTCCTATAGTTGATCACTCGCCACAGTAATCTTATTCCTAAAGTTACCTTCTGAGCGGGAACTAATAAGAGTTAAAGGGTAGAATGTGATAGTTTCACCTGCACTCGCAGCTAAAAGTCCCTTACGTGGTCTCTGAGACAGAGAGATAATTCTAAGGGGACAGATATAATTTAAGTAATTGTGGATTCCAAAAATATTTAAATGCAATACATGAAAATCATTAGTCTACAGTGAACTAATACAGTCTAACCGTTCCGTACTGACCTCCGCAATACAGGCGACATCTTTTTAAACTCTGTATTACAGACAGTTGTTGCGATCCTGACATACAAAAAACTCCATACAATCTCTACCATGAGGCTCTTGTATTGCAAGTACGTAGCTCTATCCCTCTGGTGTACGTATCAAGGAAGTATGACTGTAATTGTTTATCAGTAGGTCATGACTATAAAACGTCCAGAATGAACATTCCAACTGGTGATTAATTTCCTTAATAACCCTGTTTCTGTTTCTAAACGTTCGTTCAATAATCTGTAAGTAAACATGTCTTACGTTTCTAATCCAAAAAAGCTGAAAATCGGGTAATATCTTCAAGATTGAATAACGAAATATACATCTTTGACAATTCACAGGAGGTATTCCATATCCAGGCTGGTCAGAAGCCAAAACAATTGCGGAAATTAAAAATGGGTATCACATGCCAAAGCCAGAACACGTCGACAACACGCTGTACGTTTCACGTCATAAACTTATTTAGTATGCATATTGAATAATATACCTTATTTATTTATTTTATTTTATTATTTATTTACTATTTAGGTCTGTTGTTCAATAATAAGCATTTTAGACCACTCTAAAAATTATAAACAAAAGAGTATAAAATGGCGCTATTAAGCGCAAAATGATGAAGTGTTAATAAATGTTTGAATTTGCATTTATTAAAGCAGCCAGTGAATTGGACAATAGTGTTTCCCTTGAGATTGGATTCCCTTCTGTAATTGTTCTTGGGTAGAACGAGTACTTGTAGTAACCCTAAAGGCTGTCGGCTGTGTGTAAGCGTACTCTTTGGAGCCAGTTGAGTACGAATGGCCAGCTGATTGAATTTTGGCATCTTCTTGGCTTTCTATGGTTCGACTACTTTATAGTGTCTACCATTTCAGGGTTGAAAGCATTTCGGGTACTCTATCTTTGCGGTCAAAGAGATTTAGAACCCAGCATGCAGCTATCCTTTGGACAATCTCAACCGTGTTTATACACGCCAAGAGCGTAGCCAGCTTCTTGTTGCTGTAGGCCTGGCTGACTTTCATTTCCACATATCCTGAAAATAGCACCCATGAATAGTACGCACTTACCTCAGCTACACTTTGAGCTCTAAGCTTCTTAGCTGATCCCTACAATCCATAATTTATAAGTGGTAGAGTGATCAAACCGGCAAAAATCTGTAGTCCCTGGCCTACAGGTCTAAGGGCTGGATACGCCCTGCAAGCCATCATTGCAGGCGATAAGGACCAATGGGATAAAAGCGATGTCACGTGTTTTTTTAGGGAGCAAAAAAGTGATAACAGCTGTGAGAAAGATCCTCGAAGGGGGAACGCAGTTGATAATTTCATACCAATATCCTGTTCACCTATCATGTGGAAATTAATGACTGGATAACACCTGATTGGATCTGCACTTTTCTCGAGCAGAATAAGATGCTGCCGGCTAGACAGAAAGGATGCAGGAGGAAGAAGTAACCAACAACAAGGACCAACTCCTTATTGAAAAAAAGCTAACATAAGCACAAAAATTTGGTTATGCCGTTTATAGACTATAACAAAGCCTATGACATGGTCCAACGCTCTTGGATTATCGACAGCCTGTTATTAGTCCAGGTAACACCAAATGCAACTGAGTTTGTGGAAAGATCGGTTAAGACCTAGAGCACTTAACTAACAGCTTGGGGATAAACGTTGAGTACAGTATGTGAGAAGAGAGACAGAGCTCCCAGAGACGGGCTTAGTAGTTGGGTATCCACCGTCCAACTCCTCTGACAAGATATAGGAATGGATTTGTTTTACAGAAGAGCAGGGTGACAGTAGTGAATAATGAAAAGCTGAGGAAGACTGAGGGTATTTGACATGTGAATGGTGAGATAATTAAGAAAGTGAGTGAAGAGTGGTACAAGCACCTGGGAATGAGGAGGGAATAAAGGAATAAAGAGGGAAGAGAACTTTTTTTTCATTCATTCATTTTATTTTGCCATTAACCAGAAATACAACAACAGTATACAGAAATACATTAAAGTGCAACTAACCCCCAAAAATGTTTTTCGCTAAATGAAATCTCCTTATTTTTCTGATTACTTTTGCGAAAAAATTATCGTGATTGACAAAATCCTCGCGTTTCCATGGCTGTTTAAAGTTAGGTCTCTTGTGTCCCATTACCGAGGTTCGTGGGAGCTGGGTACGAATGTTGTTGTGACGTCATCGAAGGAGGACATCTGCCGCGAACTCATGAGTAAATGACCGAGAAGCGAGAAAGGGAAAATCATTTTAACTGATTTTAAGCGAGCGGGATACTAAAACGACCAAAATTCAACGGAATATGTCTTTAAGTGATTCAAGTTCTGAGAGAAGTTTTAATTCAGAAGATTCTGAGGCAAATTTGGCCGAAGTGGAAGATGAACAAAGTGATCGCGAGTCGCAAGTTTCATGTGAAAGCCTGGAAAATGACATTGCATATGCCGATCAACCCTTGGCTGATGAAGAATAGCTAAAAAAGTACGAAGAAGAAGTTGATGAAACAAATAAGCTAGAGCAAGAACTACGGGGAAGACTTGAAGAATCAGTTCATGTGGATTCTTGGTGAGTGTCGGCAAATTTGTAGTATGATCGTGTGAAGATCGAAGTAAAAGCTTATGTAAATAATCGAGTACTTGCTTGTTTGGCGGCGTGATTGCTGTAATGTATGATGAGAGTTGTTAGCTGTCGCTACAAAAAGTGTTATTTTTGTATGATTCTAGCTACCTTGATTGTTACAGGTGTTCCTGTGGAAACTGCAGCCGTGTTGTCCTTCAGAATTTGAGCGAGTGCTACTGCTGCCAGGAGCTGTAGTTGGTTGCAAAGAAGCCATGTGTAGCGAAAGTGTTCTTGAAGATATTCAACTCGAAACGGCCTTAAGGTGTATCACACAACATCCTGGTTTTGGTCCTGTCTGCCTTCAAAAGTGGAGCTTACGTATGGCTGGCGAACGTGTCAATACCAAAGCCAAACAGAGATATAAACAAACTGGAATCGAAGAAAGGTGAGATAGTTTTTGTTATTTTTGTACCGCATTGGAGTCAAATACGATCGATATGGTACACACTCGATTTGAAAACATACAAATTCTTTAATACATCGTCCAGCCGAAATTAAATACTTTTCTTATTGTCTTTTTTTTTACAGTTACTTGCGTAGCATTGCCTACAGGGAGTTTTCCAGGCTTGTCTACAAGCGAATTCCTCTTCCTGCGTGTGCTTACACGGAAATAAGAAAACAATTTCCTGTCGGCAGAGATGAAACCTACACTGGATTCGAACTCGACGAAGATGATTAAGTAAACTTTTTAGGCTTTTTCCCTTGTAAATTATTCTGTTATTAAATTGTTGATCATCTGTTTAACTGTCTGTTTTACTTCATCTTTTGTTGACGTAAACAGTAGATTCATTTTGAACTGTAGCTTTTACCACTATTTTTTTTCCTTTTAATATACAATTTTATAGATTTCAATAAGCATGTAATAAAAAAGAACTAGTGATAAATCAACAGGTGGGGTGTTCGCCCGGGGGGTACTCACCATAATGGCCTATAAAGGGAGGCTCCGCCTAAAAGGGGTATCTTTTTCTGGCTTCAGTATATGAAAGGGTAGGGATTTTACTCGTTGAAGTATATGAAAGGGTAGGGAAATCTATCATTTGGGTCTGTGAAATGGCTAGTAGGGCTCACAAATGAATTTTATGGCTTTATAAAGTCAAGAAAACGTTCTATTTGTGTGATTGATTCCAATTTAAAAGACAGTTCATTTAAAGCGGTCAAAAGAGATGCAAAGTTCTAAACAAGGTATGTGAAAGGGGTACCAAATGTCAATAGAATTGAAGGTATACGAAAGGGGCACCTTTTTCGTGAAAAATGGTATATAAAAGGGTAAGGAGTTGGACCTCGGGGTGGAACCTCCCCACATAAAAATTTGTTGAGTACCACCCCAGGGGTGTTCGTTGTAAATAATAAAAAAGTCATTATGCAATGAAAATTTATTTTTGCCCGCCAAAAGAGGCCACTGCTAGCACAAAACTTTTTTCCTCTCCATTATGAAAAAGAGCAATCTCCTATAGCCCCTTGTTACGAGAGAAAGAGAGATCAGGAGATGTGTCACTGATAAGAGAAGGTCAGGTCCTCAAATCCCCTAGTTCTAGACACAACTACCGTAAATCCTCTATTAAGCCCCCCCGGGGGGCTTATTTTTTTCAAGCACTTTTGAGGGGGGGCTTAATAGAAAGGGGGGGCTTCTTTAATTTAGCAAAATGCATCACCTGAGCAAAAATACCGTGGTATGAGACAGAGTAGACTAATGTGTTGTACAATAATTTACAGTCACTGTCAAAAGTATTTAATTCAGTTGTGGGAGCCTAAAAGTAACAAAAACAAAATTCTTCTTCAAAAATGTGCTTTCGGCCTCATGTTCTTCGGTAGTTGTTATGAGAATGGTTACTTGTATTGATTTGTTGTACACAACTTACAAACGAAAATCTCTGGAAAACTCCTCTTATATTTACATTTTTTATCTCTTACATTTAAATGTTTTATATAAACAGCCTTGAAATTTATGATACTATAATACTATAAGAAAATGGTGACAATTGTCCACAGAGAACTAGAGTGCAAAGTTGAGAAAGTTAAGCATATGAAGTTGGAGGTCATGTGGCCGAAGACCAAAAACAATATGAACTTCCAGCCTGAATAAACCATAACTGATCAGTCCACGTTAATCGTTAATTGTTTTGTGAAGAATAAGGATTGGGGGAGGGGGAGGGGTGGGCTTATTAACTTTCCTCTTCTGAAAAGGGGGGGCTTAATAGAGGATTTACGGTATACACACAGCCCCCTGACTGGTTGGTTTCAATTTATTTCCCACCAAAATCCTTTGACTTTTCTTTAATATTGCTGGTAAGCTTCCTTAAAGAGTTATTATTGCTAACCAACCTTCAAGGCTATGCATAATTTGTACGAGAATTCTGATTTCAATTGCAAAAGGATAGATATAGCTGACCAGTTTTGTCTGTATATACATAGACCACAATTCAATCACAATACACACATGTATATACGTAGTATAACTCAAAACTTGTACAAGAATAGTTCCCTACAGAAGCTCAACAGAGACAATATTCACTATAGCTTTTAAACTTCTAGCCCTATTTCTTATTCTTTGGACAGTCTTTAATATTCTTGTGTCCTTTCATAGGATTTTTGCATGCAGAGCAATACCGAGCTTTCTTGGGGCCATCTCTGGGAGTTTTCTGGTTTTTTTTCCCTTTTTCTTGTATTTGAACTCATGCTTGCAACTGGTTCATCAGGAACTAGGAAAAAAAGTAAATTGAATACAGTACAATGCAGCAGCTCCTTTAAAGGTGATAGAAAGGGTTGTGAGGATGAAAATCTTTACTCCTTTTTCCACAAAATTCATTCCTTTCTCCAATTTTTATAGAAAATAATCTACATGATATATTATAAACAG